CCCCAAAACCCCAAAACCCCAAAACCCCAAAACCCCAAAACCCCATTTATGTAAAATATAAAATTAATGGACAAATTAAGACTTGAAGCTAAAGACTTGGCAGTTGAAGCTAAATCACTTAAAATTAAGAAACAATTTAGCTCACAAAAGATGAATCTCTTCGGTCTTTTATCTCTTCCACAACATTCAGTGTTTAAGAATTAGCATGGAAAGCCCTTTGGAGGCAAAATTATTTGAGAAAATTGTGAAGAAATCTGAGTCGTAAGTATTTACGTACCTGACTAGATTATTTCTAGACCCCATCATTTCAAATCGCATTATAAAAGATACATAAAAGCTCGTAATAAAGTGAAGGAGTATGAAAAGCCTCTTTTAGATAGTTTATTCTCAAAAAGAGATTCGTCAAATGAAGTCCCCAGGAACCATGTAAATATTATAAGCAGGGAAACAGCGTTAGTGAAAGTATTCATTCTCCTTTCACACTTTAGGGTAAAGCTAAGAATAAGATGAAAAGTTTGAGAAAAAGTGTGCTTAGCATCCACGGGAAGGAAATAATTCCTAAAGTTGATACCCCTGTCAAGAAGAAAGGATATAATGAAATAATCAGGCATAAATATGAAGATTCTGGGCATACAATGCCTCAAAATAGCCCTCATGTAGCCCCTAGAAAGATCCCAATTCCATTACATCTAGGTAAGGACTACGAGACTATTCAGAGTTTACAGTTAATAATTTAGAAGATGACTTATCAGACTCTGACATCTCCCTCTCAAATAATAATTTACGGTTAGGAAAGGTAGCCAGACCTCCTGTTAGACTAAAATAAAATTGAACGCTCCCAGCAGGAAGAAGCAGCAGAAAAGAAGTTAAATATAGTGATGACACCTGAAGTAAAGATAAATGAGCTTGAAAAGCAATTCTCCATAAATTCTAGAAAATAACAAGAAGAAACAAAACAAGCTTGCTTTAAAATATGCTTTGAGGAAGCCTACCATCAGCCCTCACAAGAAAAGAGCCTTAATGGAATATTGGAAGAACAAAAGTTTGAATCTGACTAAGGAAAGGCTTGAGAAGGCAACCAAGTATAGAGAAACTATCTATAAGAACTCTGTACTATTCCTTAAGAACAAATTCCAAGTTGAAGAAGCTCTTGGAGGAAACGACCAAGAACTTTATCGCAAAAGTCTGTACGGTCTCTTCCAAATCGGCAAGAACTTTCAAGCAAAGTATAAGGCAACGGGGGCGGAGTAAGTTATTTTAGACAATAATTTAGGCAGAGAAGGGTGAGTCTGGACAAATCTTACCTCAACAGCTGTAAGAGGTTCTCATCTCAGAGGAATACTATTGATGAGAGGTATATAAAATATAGCTCACAAGAGTCTAAAATTAGTAAATAAGCTGGTAATTTCAATAAAGTTTTATAAAATTGGGGTTTTGGGGTTTTGGGGTTTTGGGGTTTTGGGG